TAGCCCTCACTTCTCTGAACCCGACACCCCCTCCCTGACACTTGCTGGTAACAGAGCTGCCTTACCTGGTTTGACAGCTCTCTCATTTCAGGTCCTTCTATACTCCTGAACATCCATCATGTGCCAGAGAAGAGGAGTCAGGTTCAGAGAAGTGAGGGCCCTTTCCCTAGGTCATACAGCTTAGCTACTGAGGACCTGAGGTTTTCACTTCTGATTCCCTTAGGAGGCCTCCCCCATTGGGTGCCAGTGCCCAGAGCAGAGCTTATGTCTTAGAGGGAAGCAAGTTTGTTTGCATGAAAGGGAACTATAAATAAATAATGGCTGTGTGGGCGCAAGGGAAAAGATGTAAACTTTCTCACATTCCTGCGCAGCTGGCTCGCTCAGGTTTCTTGAGTTCTTGCAGGCTGGGGACAGGCCAGCCACAGTCCCAGGCCTCTCTCCTCACACCCCAGATCCCCTGGTCCCTTCCAGCCTCCCCTGCATCCCAGAAGCTTCTTTTTGGTTGTCTTTTCTGTTTCTTCTTGGAAGAATTCCCAATCACATTACCCACTCCTAACTATCCCCTATGAGGCCTTTATAGCATGAGAGTTTCAAAGCAGACTGTGGGATGACCTTGGATGCAACAGATTGGAAACTTTGACTTACATGTGAAGACCATGGAATCGCTCATCCCCTTACCTACCCGGGCTTCTGCCCTTTTTTACATGGTATTTGGCTTGGGAGTTTAGATGGCGAGGGCTGGAGAGGGGAGGTCAAAGGCTAGTTCCGGTTAGGTGGCAAGGTCAAAGTGCTAAGGGTCAAAGTGCTAAAAGTGCTATCTTACCACATGATGAAGTATTTTCTTTGTTAAAGAGGTTTCCAGGATTAAGGACCATCAATCACCTCCTCTTCCAGAACTTCCCCTCTCCGCTGACTCAATTCTTTCATGGCGCGTTCATTTATCGAGCACCAACTCTGTGTAGGACCTGTGCAGAGCACTGGAGACCCAAAAAGTAATGAGATGTGGTCCCTGCTCTCAAGAAGCTCACAGTTTAGTAAGGAAGAAGAATGCACTTAATAAGTACTTCAAACCCAGTGACAGGAGTTGTCACAGAGGGCTGAACTCAGTTCTGTGGGAGCCCTGAGGAAGGACTGGCAGCTGGCCTGGAAGGGTGGGGTGGCGTCACCGAAAGGGCAGCATCTAGACCGGCTTTTGAAGAATGAGAATGAGTTGGCCAAACATGGAGTTGGAGAATCACATTCCAAGTGAAGGAGACAGCATGGGAAGGCGCAGAAGTGCGAAAGAGCCTGGTGGGGTGGTGAAAGAGTGAGAGATTCAACAAGAGGAGGGGAGGCTGAAAACAAGGCCACCACGGACAGTGTTGCTGGAAAAGCAGGCAAGAGCCAGCTCATGGCAGTCTGAGGTGACATGATAAGATTTAGAGTCTATATGGTAAACGCTGTTGCCCTGAAATCAGATGGGACCAACTAAGTCCAGCGACTTTAAGTCAGTGTCAAGCTAGGGAAGAGCTTTGGCTGTGGCCTATTCAAGTGGATGCTTCGGGCAGGAAGGGGAGCTAGCACCCGGCACGTCCCAGCCACCTGCAGCGGCCTTGCGTGAACCACAGTCACCCCCACCTCTGTGCCTTTGCACGTAGCTCCTGACCTGCCTGACAGGTCCTTCCCCTCCATCTGCACCTTGTTAACCCCTCCAACATCCAGGTCAGGCATCTTTTCTGGGGGGAAGCCTTCCCCAAAGACTCTGTGCTTTCACTGTCATAGAACTTGTCACACTGTATGTACAGTTGATGCTTGAACAATGTGGGGGTTAAGGGAACCAAGCCCTTCAGAGTCAAAAACCTGCCTTTAGCTTTTGACTCACCCCAAAACTTAATAACTGGTAGCCTACTATTGACTTGAAGCCTTACCGATAACATAAGCAGTCAATCAATACATATTTTGTGTGTTATATGTATTACATATGGTAATCTTACAATAATGTCAGCTAGAGAAAAGAAAATGTTATTAAGAAAATCATAAGGAAGAGAAAATACATTTATAGTACCGCGGTGTAAAAAAATCCACATATAAGTGGACCTGTGCAGGTCAAACCTGTGTTGTTCAGGGTCAGCTGTATTATATCTATCCGTCTTCTTCATTAGGCTGTGAGCTTCTTGAGAATGGGGACTGTGTCTTACTTAGTCATGGCCCAGGCCCACAGACTTGTAGAAGCCTTGATACACAAAAGCTCAATAAATGAATGAATAGCAGGAAGTAACATTACTACACCTAATGATAATAACACTTTCTGTTTTTGTGTCAAGTGCTCCCCATTCACCTGGTTGTTCAGGCCTGAAACCTCAGTCCTACTTCTGTAGACTGTTCCTTTATCCTCCCCGCCCACATCCAGCCTGCCCCAAAGCCCGCCCACCATACCTCCTAAGTGTTCCTCAAATCTGCACTTTTGCCCGTGGGCACAGCTTCCGTCTTGGCCCAGGCCAGCATTCTCTCACAACCAGTGACTGCAACAGCCTCCCTGGTCTCTCTGCCTCCAGTTTTGCCCTCCAACTCCTCCAACCCATTCTCCACTCCTGTGGCCACACTGATAATGCTAAAAAATGCAAACCTGACCATGGGCATGCCCCGGTTTAAAACTTTTCCGTGCCTTTCTTTTGCCCTCTGGATTCTCAAGGCCCCTTGTGAGCCTCTCCCTCCCTCTCCAGCCTCCTGACCCCTTTCATCTCTGTATCCCATCCCTGAGGTCTGTGTAGGCAGAGGGGGCGTTGAGGGAATCTGGCTTGTGAGTGCGGCTAGGAGAGTGTGGGGAGCCACAGGAAACAGGGTTGGTGAAGTTGTAAATGACACCTGGGAGATGTGACCTCAGTGGCAGGTACCCTGATATTCATGCCCTAATGGCTGTCTGGGGGCTGCCCATAAAATTGTGGGAAAAAATGGAATACCATGACAAACAGACTGTTAGGGAAGTTTGGAGTCAGCACCCAGATCTGCTTTTTGTTTTTAACCTACCATTTACATTTATTTATTTTTGATAGAGAGAGACAGAGCACAAGTGGGGGAGGGGCAGACAGAGAGGGAGACACAGGATCTGAAGCAGGCTCCAGGCTCTGAGCTGTCAGCACAGAGCCCGACGCGGGGCTCAAACTCACAAACTGTGAGATCATGACCTGAGCCAAAGTCAGACGCTTAACTGACTGAGCCACCCAGGTGCCACTAACCTACCATTTAACAGAGCATCTAATACATGTCAGGCACTAGGCAAGTTGCATATATTATCTGATTTAATTCTACAATAACCCTGAGAGGTAGCCAAAACTAATCCCGTTTAACAGATATGGAAACTGAGACCTGGAGCGATTAAGTAATTTGTCTAAACTCAGGCTACAGATAAAAGCGAAATCCAGTTTGAATCCTGACCTATCTGACTCAAAAGCCAGGGTCTTTGGACTATATACACACACCTACACGCATTTTGAGGGGTAGGAAGCCTGTCCAACTTTAATTCTTCTCTATCTAAAGCCTGGAACAGGGCCAACTGTCCTTTTCCTCCACTGCTGTCTTTTCCCTGAGTTAGACATCACTGCTAGGGGCCATTAACTCCAAAAGATCCTCAAGAGCAGGCCCAGTTGCCCCCTGAGTTGGGGAGAGGAATGTGGGTACAGGTGGATGGGATGAGGTACGGTGGTGGGTGGAGAGGGGCAGCGGGGCAGGCCCAAGGGCAGGGCAGGTGGGAGAAGGCCACAGAAGATCAAGGGAGCAGATGGGAAAGGAGGGGATGTGAGAGACAAACTTGGCCTCCTTCTTCATGTTACTCACTGGCTCCCTGAACCTTATCCTAGCCCACCTTGGAAGCCCCGAGAGCTTGGGTGTGTGGCACCACCAATATATCCTAAATCATGGAAGCTTGAAATGGTCAAATCTTAGAACCACAAAATCACAGAAGCTTCATGTTCTCATGAAATGTAGGCTCTTAGAAGCACAGAATTCTCAAATCTTCAATCTTAGAAACTTGCAGTCTTAGGATTGAGAAATCACAGACTCATAAGCAGTATCTGTGCAGAAACCTTTGGAGATCAAAGTTCACCACCCCCCCTTATTTTGCAGAAGAGAAACTGAGGCTGAGAGAAGGAAGAGCAAGGCTTCCTCATTGTCACAAGGTGATTTGGTGGCAAAAGGAGTTAGAGCCTCTCCCAGCCATAAGCAAGGATGGGGGCTAAAGCCAGGACTGCAAGGATGGAAGAGGCTACAGCCTGGCCGGTCCTCTTTCCGCTTGGCTTTGGCATGGCCTTGGGGCACTCACCTCCCTGGTATAAGAGGGAGCCCCAGGCAATGCCACCCTTCCTTGTGCCTCTCACCTTGGAAGGTGTGGTTGGGTGGGGTTGTGGCCGCAGGGCCTCCTGGGGTTGAGGGACCGGCCTGCCAGGCCCCACACGTTCTCAGCCACTGCCAGGTCTGTTGGTGGGGCAACCGGCTTCCTGGCCTGGGCATGGGCTGAGCCGTTCGCTCTGTCTCCGTGCTCTGAGCAGGCGGCAAGGGGGAGGGGTGCCAACTGGCACAGGGGCCAGGCTACAGGGCCGCCCCAAGGAAGGTGGGAGTAGAGGGTTTCTTCAGCAAGGAGGCTCAGACCGAAGGCTTCTTCGAGGTTGTGTTGCAATCGGCCCCCTCCCGGGTGGGGGGAGGGGACTGAGGAAGAAAGACATTATTCAATCCTTGGAGAGTTGGGCTGGCTCTGACAAGCACCCCAGCTGGGGCTGGGTCCCGCCTTCTCTGCCAGCGGGGGCTGAGAGATAAACACAGCTCATTTGATACGGGCCAGCCTGGGCCTTGCTGGGAACGGGATCTGCTGTCTGATCCCCCCTCTACTTTAGGGAGCTGGGGAGGGGGTGGGGAGAGAACCAAGCCTTGTGCTGCTACAATCCCCAGCGGCCACTGAAGCACTCTGAGGGCATCATGACCGGGACTTCAAATCTTTGTTCCTGGAGGCCTGAGAGGCAGAGCAGGAGTCATGCAAGGAACCAGAGGGAGGCCGGTTCCAGCTTCTTACAGGGGAAACTTTCTGCAGGTTAGGAATGGCCCCTGAGCCTCTCTCCTCTGGAGGTGTGTGCCAGGGACCCGCCCCAGCACCCCCGACTTGGAGAGGGGATTTCTGCATTGCCCGAGCTGCCCCTGCTGGTGTGCTGCTTTCAGCTGTCTGTGATTCTGTGTGGTCCAATATCTAACAGGAAGACTCTAGGAAGTGGGCAGGAGGAGGTATGAAAGGCACCTTCTAGATTCTAGACCAGTAGGGAACAGGGAAAGAAAATAGAGAACAGGGTAAGGTGTTGGCTGAGGCAGAGAGAGGAGCCCCTAGGCCCTGGGATTGGGCAAAAAGCCATGGAGTGGGGAGGTGAACTGCAGAGGGCTCTGCCTGGGAGTAGAGTCCTGGATTTAAAACACTAGCTGGGGGGCGCCTGGGTGGCGCAGTCGGTTAAGCGTCCGACTTCAGCCAGGTCACGATCTCGCAGTCCGGGAGTTCGAGCCCCGCGTCGGGCTCTGGGCTGATGGCTCAGAGCCTGGAGCCTGTTTCCGATTCTGTGTCTCCCTCTCTCTGCCCCTCGCCCGTTCATGCTCTGTCTCTCTCTGTCCCAAAAATAAATAAACGTTGGGAAAAAAAAAAAAAATTAAAAAAAAAAATAATAAAATAAATAAATAAATAAATAAATAAAACACTAGCTGGATGGCCTAGACAAGTGCATCCTCAGTTTTTCCATCTAGTTTTCTCATCATTACGGTAACAACCCCATGACCCTGTTAGAGGGACACTATCATCTATTCAAGATGACCCATCTTGCAGGGTCATTGTTACCACAATTATCATAATCCTAGCGCTCGACTAAGTGTTAGGAACTGGGCTAAGTAAGCCCTTGACAAGCATCATCCAATTTAACGTCCAAAACAATAATGCCAATGAGAGAATTAAGTAATTTATGTAAAGAGAAGA